TATTATTATTATTATTATTATTATTATTATTATTATTATTATTATTATTATTATTATTATTACTAGCTGTACCCGGCCACGCGTTGCTGTGGCTCAGTCTGGTTAAATGGAAAAGAATGAACGCTATGGTAAACGACACAGCTCAATTCCAACGCAATGTCACACGAAATAATTACATCAAAATGAAAATAAATCGAAATCTATGAAAATTCAATTTAACAATGCAATCGGAAACATTGAAGTGGAATCGTAAAATTGGAAATTTGGAAATCGTAAATGGATCGTAAATCGGAAACACTGAAATGGAATCGTAAAATCGTAGCGTGTGTTGCTTTTACGTCCAACAGATGGTGCTGTTTTTCAAAAAAAGCATCTTTTACCTGTCACAGGTGTGACATCTAAATAATAGTAGATACATAGAAACACGCACGTATTCGTATGCAACGTTGTGTCAAAATTTCAAAGCAATCGGTGAAGAACTTTCGGAGATTTAATATTTTGAACAAACGAACATTTACATTTTTATTTATATAGATGATGATGATTATTATTAATATTATTATTATTATTATTATTAACATAATAATCATTTACGTCTTATGATAGGGCAGAGGCGTTTGCAAAAAAATATATATCAGGCTCAAAGGCAGCTGCCAAATCAAATGATCAAAATGGAATGGACACGGCGGAAAGCAAGGAATTTTGGACGCTTTCTGAGGGTGGAACCTTAGTAAAAAAAAAATATGTTTTGCATCATCACGGAAATGTAATCGGAGCTACTTGCAGATTCTGTTAAGGCAGTTTGCAGAAATGGGGACCACTGTGGCACACAGTGGAGGGATTATGTCGTTTTCTACTCCTGGGGACCACCTAGATAGATTTTTTTTCCCTAGATTGGTTTTTTTTCCCACCCTGGACTCCCCGTCTGAAACCGGCGGCTGTCAGCCGAAGCACCCAGTGAGCTCCAGTCGGTAATTCAAGGACTGTGCAGAGCGCTTGCTTGGATTTTATTTTATTTTATTTTGGGGTTGCCTTGGTAATTCAACAAAGGTCCTGGATGCTGTGTGGAGGATACAGAAGGATTCTGTGCATCGGATTGGATCTGCTTCAGGCAGTGATCCAATGCAAGGATAAAATAGGAGCAAAGGAACTCCTCTCTCTCTCTCTTTCTCTCTCTCTCTCTCTCTCTCTCTCTCTCTCTTTCTCTGTTTCTCTTTCTCCCTCTGTCTTTCTCTCTTTTCTCTCTCTGTTTCTCTTTCTCTGTCTCTTTCTCTCTCTGTGTCTTTCTCTCTTCTCTCTTTCTCTCTCTTTCTCTCTGTCTTTCTTCTCTCTCTCTCTCTCTCTCTTTCTCTGTTTCTCTCTCCTCTCTCTGTGTTTCTCTCTCTCTGTGTGTGTCTCTCTCTCTTTCTGTTTCTCTCTCTGTCTTTCTCTCTTCTCTCTTTCTCTCTCTTTCTCTCACACACACAAACAAAGAGAGAGAGAGAGAGAAAAGAAAGAGAGAAAGAGAGAAGAGAGAGAGACAGAGAGAGAAACAGAGAGAGAGGTGAGAGAAACAGAGAAAGAGAGAGAGGGGGAAGAAAGACAGAGAGAAAGAGAGAGAAACAGAGAAAGAGAAAGACACAGAGAGAGAAACAGAAAGAGAGAGAGAGAAAGAGAGAGAAACAGAGAAAGAGAGAGAGAGAAGAAAGACAGAAAGAGAGAGAAAGAGAGAAGAGAGAAAGACACAGAGAGAGAAACAGAAAGAGAGAGAAAGAGAAGAAAGAGAGAGAAGAAAGAGAGAGAGAGAGAGAGAAGAGAGAAAGACAGAGAGAGAGAAACAAAGAAAGAGAAACAAAGAGAGGAGAGAGAGAGAAGAAAGACAGAGAGAAAGACAGAGAGAGAAGAAACACACACACACACACACACACACAGAGAGAGAGAGAGAGAGAGAGAGAGAGAGAGAGAGAGAGAGAGAGAGAGAGATGGTTTCCCTGTGCTTTCCCCATGTATGCACTTGAATTCATTTTGGGCTTCTGAAATTTGGGCAGGATAGGTATAAGAAACCTCAGAGGAGGAGGAGAGAGAGGAAATTAGAAAAAAAAAAATCTGGGCTATCAAATAGAAACAGAATAACCACATTGGAGGGGACCCTGGAGGTCTTCTAGTCCAACCCCCTGCTCAAGCAGAAGACCTTATACCATTTCAGACAAATGACTTGTCCAATCTCTTCTTGAAAACCTCCAGTGTTGGGGCACCCATAATTTCTGGAGAAAAGCTGTTCCACTGATGAATTATTCTCGCAGTCAGGAAATTCCTCCTTAGTTCCAGGTTGCTTCTCTCTTTGATGAGTTTCCATCCATTGCTTCTTGTCCTGCCTTCAGGGGCTTTGGAGAATAGCTTGACCCCCTCTTCTTTGTGGCCACCCCTCAAACGTTGGAACACTGCTACCCTGCCACCCCTAATCCTCTTTTTCATTAAACTGGACAAGAAAGAAGGAAAGTGATTATTAAAGCTTGCTTTCAGAAGCATTAATTTTCTTTTGGGGAATCAGCTAGAGTGGGAGACCTCATTTCTTTCTTAGCTACGGAATCAATGCAGTCATTCTGCCGGGACAAATGTGGTGGCGTGGGTTTTTTGTTTTTTTTTTACTGCCACTTTTGTGTTTGTGTCGTAAATGGCACTGCCTGAAACAACATCTGTGCATCTCCAGCTGCACAGAAAGAAGAGCTGGGGTGGGGAGGAGGGACTTCCCAGAACTAAGCTAACTCCTGGTCCGGTTTCAAATATAGAAGGTTCCACTCTCTGAATATTCGTGTCTTCGCTTTAAGTAGTTTAATTCAAGATTAGCCTTCTAATACCTCCCGGAGCTTTTAACACGCTTGGAAGTCGAATTCTGTTGGGAATAAACACTCGAGGTAGTGATAGGATTAAAGCAAAAGGTGGACTGGTCAAAGTGACACTTCTTTTTTACTTTCTTCTCTCTTTCTCAATTTTTTTTTCTCTCTCTCTCTCTGTGCAGGTGACCCTTTCCAGATTGAGAGCCTGCAGAAGATCCACGAAAGAGACACTGAGAATTGCACATTGTCCACCCCAACTGAGAACGTCAAAGGCGTCCATCTTCGTATTGAATTAGCAGCCTATGGATAAACCATGCCACGTTGGACCTTCTCTGAGACCATTTTTCTGGGCTGTTATTTGTTCCCTCGCTCTCCTTTGGACGGAAGCCTTGAATGAAGCCTCCACATGACCTATCTTCTTCCAGGCTTATCCTCTGGGTCTTTGCAGAAACTCTGATGAAAAGGCCCAGATGAATGATCTTGCTTATTTTACCTTTTTTGCATTAAGGAAGTTATCCCGCAACCGTTCACGCCCTTAGCTTCCCTTCCTGGGAATGCAGGAATGGCCGGGAGAGGAAGCCATGGCTTTGGAGAGCAGCCTTACAAGGAGAAGGAGGAGTCGGAAGAAGGTGTTGAAGTTGAGGGGAGAAGGGATGGAGACCTTCACCTTGGAGAAAGCAGCCTGGTAGGGAATTTGGACTGCTGGACCTTGTCTTCCTCCCAGGAGATCCTGGAAGATGAAGAACTTTTGGGGGAACTGAAGGACTATCAACACCTTTTGGAAGAAGGCGAACAAGGTTTTGATCTCGGTGAACTTCAAGATCTTGAACGTGATGTCAATACTTCGGGTCTCCTGCCTGGTGAGTAACAGAGGAAAATTGGGGACCCAAATCTCTGGTAAGGTTATTTGGAGTAATATCTGAACTAGAGCAGAGCTTTTGCGCATTCAGAGAAGGTAACTGATCAGGCTTTCAATGGTTCAAAGCAGATGTTCTGGAGAGCCCCCTTGTCACTGGTGCATCTTAAGGAAGCACTGGGTGCAGCTAGAACAAAAACTGGATGCAATCCTTATTTTTTTTAACATCTTTTAAAATTCTGTCTCTCTTTGGCTTTTCCAACTCCTAGATAGCTTGGGTATATTTTTGGCCAGACCCTGAAATACCAAAGCACGAGATGCATGTTCTTGCTAAATGTCCCAATGGAATAGAATAGAATAGAATAGAATAGAATAGAATAGAATAGAATAGAATAGAATAGAATAGAATAGAATAGAATAGAATAGAACAGAATATAGAGTATAGAGTAGAGTAGAGTAGAGTAGAGTAGAGTAGAATAGAATAGAATAGAATAGAATAGAATAGAATAGAATAGAATATAGAGTATAGGGTAGAGTAGAGTAGAGTAGAGTAGAGTAGAATTCTTTATTGGGATGGTTGGAGACACAAGGAATTTGGAGTGGAATGGGTTGATAATTAGGGCAATGTGAGATAGATCTTCTAATGTTATCTCCTTCCCATGTTTAGAGGATGAAGGAAGTGCCAAGGATCTTGGCCTGAGGTCTTACTTGCAACCAGATGTGATGTACGAAGTCGACAGCACTGAACCTGAGAAGCCAAGAGGGATATGGGAGTTTGGCAGCCAGGAGGATGTTCATCCTGAGCTCTCTTTTGAGGACCAGTATGTCTCGGACTTCAGTCCCAGTCCTGAGATCCTGCAAGACCCTCTCGCTTTGTATAAATGCAGCTTTGCCTCCGATAATGTAGACGAACTGTCTGAAAGCTCCAATCTCAGCCCTTCTCCTTGTGGTCCTCCTCCAGTGTGCACCCAACTGGAGATTGAACCTCGGAGTCTGCCTGGGGATGGTCTGAACTTCCTTGAAGATCGAAAGTTCTCCTTGGAGTCAGGAAGAAGCCTGGAAAGTCATGGACGCAGTTCTCTAGCAATTTCCTTGCAGTACAATCAGCGACTCTTAGACTTCCAATCTCTGGAAGATCTTCAAAATTGTCCCAGCATCGATGCCGAGACTTGTCCAGAATTGTCATGGATGGAGAACTTGGAACGACCTCCTGAGGAGGAACCTCCAGCTGAGATAGCTCAGCTTGCTTTGAACAACACCGAGGAAAGACTTTTGGATTCGAGAAAGACAACACAGATGTCCCAGAGGCGAGTTGGTGGCCAACTGGAGAAACGAACACGGAAGCTGGAAACAGATGTACCCCATGGGCTGTCGTCTAGAGGTCCAAGGCAGTCCAGGTCTCTGAGCCCTCAACGGAGGACCCCTCAGAAGAAATCTGGACATCTTGCTTTAAAAGAACCGGATCGAGAGACTCAATCAAACTCTGGAGCAAGGGACGTCACACAATACGGCCGAGGACAGCTCAACTACCCCTTACCAGATCTATCCAAAGTGGAACCCCGGGTCAGGTTCCCCAAGGATCCCCAAAGCTACCATCCACCCCAAGGAAAGATTTCTCCAGCTAGTAAGAAGGAGGTTAGGAAGCCGGTGATCTTCAAGTCTCCTGCTGAGATTGTCCGAGAAGTCTTGTTGAGCAGCACCGAAGGATCTCCTCAGAAATGTCCCACGCCGGCCGTCTCTGTTATTCCCGAGGAACTGAAGTCCCCCAGACAGGCGACAGAGCTGGTGCATCAGCTTCAGGTAGCATCTTCCTGTATGCTTTGCAAACACTCTCTTCCTGAATACAGACAGTCCTCGACTTACAATGGTCATGTGCCTTTTTTTTAGTGCCATTGTAACTTTGAATAGTTACTGAACGAACTGTTGTAAGTCAAGAAGTACCTCTGTTGGCTCCGGAGAAAATTTCTCCCATTTAGCACACGAGCATTAGGGAGAGAAAACCCTTCTGTCTGGCACAGAGGTTTTCAATTGGCAGAAATGTATTTATTATTGCTTTTTGGTACTGCCCATGGGTTCCAAAAAGCAATAATAAATACATAATGAGAAGGAAGGACTCACTGGAGAAGAGCCTAATGCTGGGAAAGATGGAGGGCAAGAGAAGAAGGGGACGACAGAGAATGAGGTGGCTGGATGGAGTCCCTGAAGCAGGAGGCATGAGCTTCAATGGACTCCAGAAGATGGTAGAGGACAGGAAGGCCTGGAGGGACGTTGTCCATGGGGTCGCGATGGGTCAGACATGACTTTGCAACTAACAAAAACAATTTATTATTATTATTATTATTATTATTATTATTATTATTATTATTATTATTATTATTATCATTATCATTATCATTATCATTATCATTATTGCTGGTGTAGAGGTGTGCTCATTCGTGTGGGAGCCCTGGCTTTGAAGCCATCAATAGAAGAAACTAGGCTAATAGCCCAAAGCAAGCTTTTAATGCACACTGCCTAGGTCTCCATCAATCTAAGCGAGCCGAGAGGTCACAACCTGCACACATTATGCAGATTTGTCCCTCTTTGTGTTGTCCCCCCCCCTCTTTGTGTGCACATGCTTCAAGGTTAAAGCACCCTTCGTAGCCATTCAATCCTTGGCTTCTAGCATTCTGATTCATCCATAGGCGCAAACTCCTATTTTTCATACAGAGGCTCCGTCTGGAATTACCGCGGAGTTACAAAGGAACTCCAGAGAGTATTATTTTCTGCGATTTGAATCTCTGGAAATTTGTCCTTTTTAAAAAAAAAGAAAAAGAAAAAGAAAAAAGGAAAGAAAAGAAAAGGTACAATCGGAAAGTCTCCAACAATGGGATTCTAGGGTTATGTTTTGATGGGTGTGGATGTGTTTTTAGCGGTGCTTCTCTTTGCCGTTGTATTAGAACTGAATCCATTGGTAAGACTAGCTTGTTGCCTTCAAACAACATCGTTCATCACATCTGTAATAGCTGCCTTTTGTATATATATATATATATATATAAAACATGCTAAGTTTACTGTACGCAAAACTCTTCCAATTCCGGAAGGGGCATCTAAATGAAATATCATGTTCTCTTCCATCATTTTTTAGGAAGACTATCACAAACTTCTAACCAAGTATGCCGAAGCTGAGAACACCATCGACCGATTGCGGTTGAGTGCCAAGGTATACGATGATAAGGAATGGTCCTATTATCAAAGTTCTTTCTGTAACTTTTGCCCCTGGTCCTTTGTGGGTGCCAGGTACTCCAAATGGAACACCTTATGCACATAGTACCTGCCTGGGGAACAGGTAGTAGCTGATGGTAGAGCAGAGGTTTTGTGTGTAGGACTTCACTGGTGCCTGCTGCTTGGAGAAGACCACGCTGATTCAACATGGCTCTGACAGAAAGATATTAGAGGATATAAGTTCCATAATCAGAGTTGGACCATCCAGAAAGTTTAATACCTTTCCATTCATCTCTGATCAACCGTTATCATGTCCTGGATCTATCAGGATCGTAGTGGCTGGGGACGAGTGGAAATGTGGCTTTTCCAAGTTTAAAGCCATGAATTCTGGCTTTCTATCCTAGCTCTGGGTTTTTATTTCAGCTGGAGCGGCAAAATTTTGGGTTTATCTCTCAGCTGGATTGCGGGTCTCAGGATCCGCAGCCCAGCTTGGTCCTCAAAGATCCTAGTTCCCAGGTTAGATTACTTAGAATCAATTTGAACCATCTCTCGTCCTATTCAACATCACAAACCAGAAGATCAAAAAACCACAACTTCTGATTCATATTTTTTTTTAAATCTCAGATTTACTTCATTTCAGAGGTAGAATTCAGGTTAGGCTGGATGCACAGTTGTTGCCACTTTTAGAAGATAATTGCGGGTCACAAATCCTCGCTGTTAGAAACCCCTCGGAGGGTCTGCAAATAAAATCAGATCTGGCTGGCTTTAAAGGCTGCCTTCAGCTCTACAGTTCTGCGAACACGTCTTGAGGAAGTCTTTAGTTCCGAGGGCGGTTGAAAAAGAAGAAAAGAGAATTGTGCTTTTCAAGGGGAGAAGCAAGCGCCACTGTTTCTTTATTAAAATGACTCAGTCAGTTTCGTCTTGAACAGGAAGTGCAAAGAGGAGGAGGGGGGAGAATTTGAGAACACTGCCCCGAAGAACACATTCGCAACTGGCGGTCCTCTGCTCGTCAACTTCCTGTGTCTCAGAATTGTGACAGATTCTTCCCCGTTCCTGCGTGTCCCAGCGGCATTTTCTAAAAACCACAGCCCCAAAACGGAAGCACAGCAACAGTCGTGACACTAAAAGAAAAGTCTTAGGAGACAGGGGCTCCTGCTTGAGCAGGGGGCTGGACTAGAAGACCTTCAAGATCCCTTCCAGCTTCTATTCTGATTTTTACAGGAAAAGCCCAAACTGAGTACTGTGTCGCTCAACACCCCAAATGCCAGTGTCCTGAGGCCAAACCGAGTCGCCATCTCAATTTTGTGCCTCCAGAATCTCAGAGGTAGAATTTAGATGGTCGGGTTTGCGAGAATACCGCGTGGTGTAGTTGCTTAGTTACTTAGCTTGAGCAGGGGGTTGGACTAGAAGACCTCCAAGGTCCCTTCCAACTCTGTTCTTCCCTGAATCGGTCAGATCCTGTAGAATGATCTAAGGTTCTAAGTGATCATTTTTGTCACTATGAATAGAACTTAACTGGACTTAACAAACGTGGCAAGAAAATCCGTAAAACTCACCGGACCAATTTCTCACTTAGCATCATAAACGTTGGGCTCAGATGTGGTCCTAATTTAAGGACCGCCTCTACTCTATCTTATTTATATGTAAAAGATTCTTTGCTCATCTTTTGGCTGCTTTTTATAATGGATTTCTTTTCCCTTAAAAAGAGAGAGAGAGAGAGAAGAGAGAGAGAGAGAGAATCATTAGCTTTACATCTGTTCCTTGGCCCAATCATTCTCCTGTTCCCCATCCTCTGCTGAAAAAAAATCTCCACCAGATTTTCCCTGTTGGTTGGGGAGGGGGAAGGCCCTGTCCACCATGATGCTCCTACACAGTCACAATGCTTAGTTTGTGGGGACAACTCAGCAACAGAAAGGAGGGCTGGCTGTGGCAACTGGAGCCCCAGCTTAAAGAGATGTGGGGCAGTTTCAAAAACCCAGTTCTAGCTGGTGGAACATAAGCAGGAGAGACGATTTAGAATCGGCCTCCGCCTCGTGAGATTCAGAGGACGATGGCAATCGGGGACCAGAGAGAGCGGGTAAAGATGGCAGCCATTTTATAAAATCCAGGCTTCCAATGGAATTGAAACATGAATTAAAGGAGCGAAGAGAAGGTCCCTATTTTCAGACCTAGAGCGAATGGAGTTGGAGATAAACCCAGCAGAATCGTTCTGATGTTGGCCCTGCCTGGAATAAGAGAATAACAAGAGCTGGAAGGGACCTTGGAGGTTTCCTAATTTAAACCCCCTGTCCATTAAAAACCTTAAATTTCATATATGCTTCTTGGCAAGACTCTATATCAATCAGAAATAATAGTTCTAGAAGGGACCTTGGAGGGCTTCTAGTCTGTCCACCCCCCCCTGCTCAAGCAAGAGACCCTATACCATTTCAGACAAATGGTTGTCCAATCTCTTCTTTAAAAACCTCCAGTGTTGGAGAACCTACAAATTCTGGAGGCAAGCTGTTCCACTGGTTAATTGTTCTCACGCTCGTGAAATTTCTCCCTAATTCTGGGTTGATTTTCTCCTTGGTTATTTTCCATCCGTTGCTTCTTGTCTTGCCTTCTGTTCCTTTGGAGAATAGCTTGACTGGAGAACGTCTTGAGTATTCTTAACCAGACGAATATAATCTATTGACACAGATCTACTCTGCGAATCTCCAGGCTGTGAAAAAACCCAAAGGTTATGTTTCATGACCACTCTCATTTTAAGTAGAAGAAGGCAAGTTTGAACATGGCTTTTTTCTGAATTTACTGCTGTGTTGCTAGTCTTGGCAAGTCGAGAAACTGGATCTTTTCTTTCCAAAGCCTTCCAGGGATGGTTGAGATTAATTTATTTTAAATCATCCCAGGTAGATATATTGCCTTGTTTTGATGAGATACCTCTGCATTGCCTGTTTCTGTTTGGAGATTCTGCTGAGATCTTTCTTCTAATTTCTTCTGCCTTTCAGGTCCGCCTCTACAGCGATCCTCCGAAGCCCAGCCAGGCGGCCCCTGAAATGGGGAGAATATCAGAGGGGTCCAAAGTTGTAACCTTCAGCATCCCTCAAATCAGATCCGCCGAGATCACAAGACGGCCCAGCCAAGCGTCCATAAGTGGTGAAGGTAAGTCTGAGGCATCTGCATTTTTTCCTCCTTGATTCTTGGGATTGCCAGTAAGGGCAACCACTATAAACTGGGAGAGTAATTCATTGGCTGGTTCTCCAATGGTCAATACCAGTCGTAACTAGATACGGTATGACTGGGAAGTCCCAGGGCTGTAGACTAGACTGTCAAACAGAACAAGCTCCCTCAAAGATGCTGGAACAAGCCATTTCTCTCTATGACTACTAAGAATGCTCCCAGCTGCACTCACTCAGTAGTATATAAATAGGGAGGAAAACCCACTTCCTTCTAGTACTGATGATGTTACCTAGTTGGGTTATGCAATGCCTGCAAGAAAGCCACTAAGCTCAGAGAGTACCAA